TTCTAATCTTAATCTTGGTATGGTTCTCTCTGAAGAGGCTGGTAATTATACTTGCGTGGCTAATGTTTCGTCTTCATTCATTGATACTGGATATAATCTCATTGTGTCTAATACCACACTAATCACTGTGTCAAGTAAGTATGGATAACCTTGTACATGCACATGCGTTTAACATGTATGGAGAGAAATAAGAAAGAAGGAAATTTTTTAGAGAGAGAGAGAGAGAGAGAGAGGAAGAAAGAGAGAGAGAAATAAGAGAATTCAGAGCTTTTTAGTAGCTGCAAAGAATTAAAAGTGTCAGTATTAATAAATATGTACATGTACATACATGTATGATGTGACTATGCCTGTACAATGATTAAGATATGGAGACATAATCTTGAGCCTGTGTATGTGTGTGTGTGTGTGTAAACACTCGAGAAAGAATGAAATTGAATAAGGAAGTTTTATCATTATCAACCCAATCACAGTCTACCACTATACACACTAATAATGCATACACTACTGATAGTAGGATTACTCACTGACACTCATTCCTTATTAGTGAACATGCATCAGTTACTGTACTGAGTTGTTTTGCTTAATTATACTTTATAATAATGACACTATCTACAGTCAGTATTGGTATGCTGTATTGCATGTACAAGTACATGTACACGTACAGTATATGTATGTGTGGCTAACATGTACATGTGGTGTGACTGCAGTATAGTGAGTGATATTGTGTGATGTTGTTATAGTGTTGTGAGTTATGACAGATGTTATTTTGTCTGACCTCAATCTCTTTCTCTCTCCCACATACATGTACATGTACATGTACAGAACATGCACATTCACTATAGACTCCATTTTTAATTGTTTACCTTCTATCTTAACTCTCTTTTTTCATCTCTCTCTCTCTTTCCCCTATCTCTCTCTTACAGTGCCTGAGCCTAATTCAGTTGTGTTGGCTCTTAACTACCTATCTCCACCCTATTACGCTGGTCTCAGACGTGACCTTCAATGCTCCATTGATTCATTATACATACATGGTGATCCTACAGTCACAGTCAGCATTGATATACTATTCAATGGGACAATAGTTCCTTCTGGTATTTCTTCTAATGGGAGGAAAAACCTACAAGAGTTATCAAGTAATCCTAGTGGAGGGCAGTATAGAAGGACTTTGCAATTTCAATATTTTGTGTCTTCTGCGGACTCTGGTATATACACTTGCATGGTCAACGTGTCATCGAATTATTTATCAAGTTATATTGTCAATGCTTCTATTAGCAGGCCCAATGAATATAACATTGTTGGTAAGTATTTCTATTTATAAATGCATGTACATGTACATTGTATGTTCCTGTTAATGTAGTTGATGTGATATGATTTAATGTGTGTATCAGGCTATCAGAGCATGTGATGTGCATGTGGTTTGGTATCTTTGTATTCATGAGATTATCTCTTGTGTAAACAGGTTTGCTACACCTGTTGTCTCTTGTTAATATTGTTTTCACTGTTTTTAGTTTACCTACCCTCCCCCTCTCTCTCTTTTTGTTCCTTCCAATTCCCTTTTCTATCTACCCCCCACCATTGTTTACCACTTCATTTCTTTCCTCCCTCCCTCCCTCTCTCTCTCTCCTTCTCTCTCTCCCTCTCTCCCTCTCTCCCTCTCTCTCTCTCCCTCTCTCTCTCTCTCT